AAAGCAGGATGGTGGGTGCCCAGGGCTGGGGACGGGGGTAAGCGGGGAGATGTTGTGTAACAGGCCCAGTTTCTGTCTGTGATGATGAGAAAGTTCTGGAGATGGACGGTGGTGATGCGGCCCAACAGTGTGAACATACTTAATGTCACTGAACTGGACACTTTAAAACGGCTAAAACTGGGGGCGCCTGGCTAGCTCAGTCGGCAGAGCATGTGACTCTTGATCTCGGCGTCATGAATACAGCCCCACCGTGGGCATACAGCTCACTTTAAAAAATGGTTAAAATGATAAATGTTATGTATATTTTACTACAATAAAAAGTGGCATGCCTTACTCTACATCGATGGTCTGAAAGTAGGGTCCCTGGACCAGCCTCACCAGCAACACTCGAGAAGTTGTTAGAAACGCAAATTCTCGGGCGCCTGGGTGGCTCAGTTGGTTAAGCGACTGCCTCCGGCTCAGGTCATGATCCTGGAGTCCCGGGATCGAGTCCCACATTGGGCTCCCTGCTCTGCGGGGAGTCTCCTTCTCCCTCTGGCCCTCCTCCCTCTCGTGCTCTCTCTCATTCTCTCTCGCAAATAAAAAAAAAAAAAAAAAAGAAAGAAAGAAATGCAAATTCTCATGTGGATCCCAGACCAGATCTACTGATGCCGAGCCAGGAGGGGGGGACTGGGCACGATCTGTGTTTTAACAAGCCTTCCAGGGTGTTCTGAAACCACTGCCCTGCAGAACCCTATCACCTCTAGCTCCTTTCTCCACCCAGGCTCCTCCCTCCCCCTCCCCATCCTTATTGGCAATTAAGAACCCATTGTCAGGATGCTCAAGGGATGGGCTTACCCGTTCCCACCAACACCCTTCCAGGAGAAGTGAATGTTCCCATGGTTCCCCAACATGGCACCGTGGGCCACACCAGAACTCTACCAATACCTATTTCCAGACCTCACCCATACAGATGCCAGTTCAGGAGATCTGGGTAGCCCCCGGGATTCCGGGACTCCACAGAATCCAGGATTCTGCCCGCACTCAGCGAGGTTCTGGGCATGGAGTCAGAGGACCCAGGTCAACTTCCGGCTCTGCCACATTCCTTCACCCACCCCAGCGGCTTCCAGCACGATCTGTATCTTCTAACTCTGAACACAGGTAGCACCCACCACAAAACCGGCTGCTTCGAGGCTCTGGATACCCCTGGTGACGTAACTCCAGGTCACTGACCACCTGCCCACCCTTCCCCACTGTCGCATTCCCAGGCATCTCCCCACCCAGCCTCAAAGGCAGGGGCCCGGTGTCAGTGCCTAGATACACAGCTCGCCCCCAAACCCTCCCGGCCTCACAGCGAGCATCCCTCAGCCACGCCCGGCCCCGTGGGTCCCAGTGCCTCAGCCCCAGGACGAAAGGGAGCAATGGCGCCAGACTTCAGCAGCGGCCTCTCCCCCAGGATCTGCTGAAATCGCCCCACCCCCATGAATCCCACACAAAGCAGTGCCACCCAGAGGTGACAGATCACACGTGCCATCTGAAAAATGAGGGCGACCGGGCTCACCTTCGTCTACACAGCTGCCACTGATTCGTGTGCTGCCTCTCTCCACACCGCACCCCAGCCGGCGAAACCTAGCTCCCGCCCTCCCCTGGTCATCTCCCCACTTCCTGTCCCAGGCACAGACCGACGTCCCCCTGAAAAGCCCTACCAGGCCAGCCACACCTTTGGCCGCAGCAGTAAGCTCCCAGCCTCTGACCCGCAGTACTTAATGCTCTTACACCCAGAGCTTAAGGCCCAGACTTTGGAATCAGAAGGGCCCGCACCTGAGCCCTGGCTTTACCATGAGAAAAGCCAAGGCATCCCGGACAAGCATCTTAAATTCTCCGAGGCGCTGTTCTGCAGCTGTAAACTACAAAGCCAGCCCCAGAGCTGTGGTGAAGGGCACGAGACGAGGTGTGCATGAAGGAGCCCCGCTCAGAACTGGAACAGGCTGCACGGGGCATGCGTGGGGCAGGTCGCTTCCGTGCACGCAGCTGGGCATCTGCTCAGAAGGGAACCGCACGTCTCGGAGCTGCAGAGAGCCTCGGGGAAAGCACGGTGAAGTCTGGTGGGCAGAGCAGGTGGCCCAAGAGCGCACAGCTAAAGAGATACCAGCGCCCGCAGCCTGGCAGCACTCCAGGTGTGGTTAGCATGCAGAATCTCTGCCTCCTCCCAGGACCCCCCACAGGTTCAGCAGGAAGAGGACCCTCAGCACCCAGGCCCAAGCCCCTCCTCCTCTGGCTTTGTCTCCTCTAACAGCTAAGATTGCTGTCTGCTTGGAGAGGAATCTGCATGTTAACAAGCTCCCCAGGTGATTCCTAGGCACACTCCAGTTCCAAAAGCACTGCTTTGGGTCAGGGCACCCCCCTTCCTGCCCCATGCTTCCTCCGACACACTCTAAGTGGCCGAGTCCTCGGGTGTCCCCCACAGTGCTGCAGAGTGGAGACCAGTGAGGAGTGCAGCTGGGAGCAGGCTCTGACGTCAAACTACTCAGTTCAAAGCCGACTGCACAGGGCGGCTGGGAAGAGGTCCCAGGAAACAAACTGCCCAGCACAGTGCCTGGCACTCGGCAAAGCTCTGGGTCCACCTCAGCTATTTTTAGCAATGGCTGTGGAGATAAGCGCTCTGAGAACAGGGGGCGGGGGGCGGGAGTCTCTTGGAGGCGCTGATATGGAAGCCGAAAGACCAGTCACGAGCCATGATCTGGAGGAAAAGCGCTCCAAGCAGTAGAAATAAAAAATGATCAGGGGGGGTAGCAGCTGAGATCCCTGTGGGCCATGAAATTTAATCTAAGTAGGCCTGGAAGCCACTGAAGGCTGATGGGATGCGGCATGTCTTCAAAGATCACTCTGATTATGGTGCACGGAATGGGCTGGAGGGCACAAGAATGAAGCAGAAAGAGCAGCTGGGAGGCCCCAGAGGTGGTCAAGGCAAGAGATAAACACCAGCCTGGACTAAGGGTGTGACCAGTGGTTAGATTCTGAAAATATGCTGGAGATGGAGCTGCTGCTGGACTGGGCCTGCAAGAAGGACCTGAGGATGGATGCCTCTGAGTGCAGTCCGAGTCACCGAGTGAAGTGGTAGGAGAGCTGGGTCACGGAGAGTCAAGATGTCTGTGAGATAAGCAGCGAGGAGGTCCGCCAGCAGCTCACCGAAGGCTGGAACTTAGGGAAGAGGTCCTGGCTCAGACTCAAACGGTTACAACACTTTAAGCCCCTGAAGACAGAGACGAGGCCTTTCTCCCCTGCAGAGTCCTTCAGCGTTGTACAACGTGCACAGCGCAGAGGCTCGACGCACATCGATGCACTTCAAGACAAAATGAGGTTTTCAGAGGATGGTGATCACCACGTTGGCGCTTAGATGAGAATCTGTGCAGCAGTGTGTCTCTAAGGAGTAAGGATTCCCCGGGATGCAGCATGGGTGTTAGTCCCTGAAGGCTGGCTCACTTTATGGAAAGGAAAGCAGGCCAGGTTTGGGAATAAGGGGAGAAGCCCAGGAGGAGGGGTGCACTGCTGGAGAAATGACAGCAAGATGAAATACTGGCTCAGGGAAGTAGGAGGACCTCATGTAGAAGGGTCTGGAGGGATGAGGGAGCTGGGGTCATGCCCACTCCTCCCTGCTTCTCATGATGCCTGCAGGTGGACACAAGCTCTTGGCAGAGATGGCCCAGAATCCAGCCAGAGATCCTGCCTTTCTAACACGGATGAAAGCTTCCTGTTCCCGAGCGGAAAGAGAGCTCCCCAGAGACTGTCCAGAGAAGAGCACCCACTCCCCCCGAGCGGCCCAGCACACCATCCCGCTAACCTAAGGGAGCCCGCTCTCACCTTCTCCACTCAGCTCAGTCTCCACACAACCCTTCTGATGAGAGCAAAAGCCCAGGACAAACGCCTCCGGGTCTGTGCTCCTTTGTTCAGTACTTACCGAGCACTCCTCACACGACGTCCTGGGCCTTGCGGGGACCCCGGATAAACAAGTCCCTGCCAGGGGACCCAGGGCACACGCCCCGACAACGGCGCAGGGCCAACCGGCCGCGTACAAAGCAAGCGCACGGAGAAAGGAGAGCAGCCGCAGGGCGCGTGTGAAGGCTGCCTGGCCTTCACCCCACTGCGCTCCTGGCAGAACCAAGTCCTTCCTCAGGGCGCCTATGCTCGGCCAAGTCTGCGGACCTGTCTCCGTCCAGCACCGCGACTCGGGTCCGGCGCGGTCTTGCCCAAAGCGCCTGCACTCGGCAAGCACCCGGGCAACGGCTCCTGAGGTCGGGAACAGGGCCCTGTGGTCGCCAAGCCATAGCCCAAACCCCCACCTCGCTACTTCCTGGCTGTGTGCCCTTGGGCATGTCGCTCCACCTCTCTGAGCCTGACCGGCGCGCCGGCCGCGCCCGCCTCCCAGCCGGCGCGGGCACGGAACGAGCAGGTGCGCGTCGTGCCGGCCGCTCACCCAGTTTCCGAAGCCGAACTGCTCGATGGCATCCAGCAGCAGCTGCTCCTCGCGGCTGGTCCAGCCGCCCTCCGCCTCGGGCCCCCACAGCGTGAAGCGCCCGCCGTCCACCAGCTGGTAGCCGTGGTAGCGGCGGTGGTGGCCGATCTCGGCGCCGGCCGAGAAGCACTCGGGGCACAGCTCGATGTCCTGGCACTCGGTGCAGCGGAAGCGCAGCGGGCTCACCTCGGCCAGGCAGTACACGCAGTACTTCTTACCGAGCTCCGCCATCTTCCCCCGCCCGCCGCCCGCGCCCGCGCCCGCCGCCGTCAGCGCGCCGCCGCCCGCGCCGGCCGCCGCGCTCGAGCAACCGCCGCCCGCGCCCGCCGCCACCGCGCCGCGCCGCCCAGGCGCCGCCGGAGCCGGCCAGCCGGGCCGCGTCCCGCCTCAGCACGCAGGCGCCCTCGGGCCCGGCCCGGCCGCCGCCGCCGCCGCCGCCGCCGCCGCCGCCGCCGCCGGCCGCACCGCGCAGGCGCTCCGCGCGCGCCACCTCGCGGGGACCCGGCCCGCCGCGCTGCGCCTGCGCGCGCCTCGCGCCGGCCGCCCGCCCCTCCTAGCGCCTCCCAGCCACCCCGCCCCAGGCCGGGAGCCGGGAAATGGGCGGCAAGGCCGCGCGGCGCGAGCCCGCGCCCCCTTCCAATCAATGCCGCTCGTCGCCCGCCCGCAGCTTCCCATTGGCCAGCTCTCGCCGGAGGCGGGGAGAAGGGGGCCGGGCGTCTGCCTGCCTCTTGGCCAATCGCCGGGCCCACCGCGCGCGCCCCTGGTTGCCCCTGGAAACCCAACAGCCGGCGTCTCGGATCCGCCGCTCCCGCCGACCGGGAGGGAGATGGACCGCAGCTCCGAGCACCGTGGGGGCCCCGGGGGGGAAGACGGAGATGTGGCTAACCTGTCCCCCAAGCTGTCCGGGATCAAGGCCACCTCTGGCCCCCACTCCCCGGCCGAACCGCCGGAGCCGGAGCCGGAGCCGGGGACCGTAGAGGCTCCGGAGGGAGGCGCCGCCGAGGACGAGCCCGCCGAGCCCCGCGAAGGGCCGGCGGCCACGGAGGCTGTGGACCAGGCGGCACCCGGGGAGCCGGAGCCGCCGGCCGAGGCTGAGACTGAGCCGGAACCCGGGGAGCCGGCCGACGCTGGGCCTGAGGAGACAGCCCAGCCGGGGCCCGAAGGCGGGTCCGCGGAAGCGGAGGAGAGGGCGGAGGAGGAGAGGGAGGAGGCGCAGGAGGGGGAGGAGGCGGAGGGGTCGGAGGGGTCGGAGGAGGGAGAGGAGGCCGCGGCAGCGGCGGGCAAGGCGAGGAGGAAGAAAGCCCCCTCGGCGGTCTCTGTGCCGCTGTCCACCACCGGCCAGGAGAAAGCTGCGCCAACCCGGGAGGCTGCGCAGGAGGACGGGGAGAAGGAGGAGGAGAGCGAGGAAATCAAGGGGAGGGGTGTGCAAGGAAGCCCGGTGAAAAGCAAGGAAAAGGAGGAAGGTGAGAGACTGGACGAGGGGGAGGATGAATGGACCGAGGAGATGAAGAAGCTGCAGGAGCACCAGCTGCGCGCTGAGCTCCTGGAACAGTACCAGTCGCTGGTGGTGGAGCGCAGCAACTACCAGCGTTACAACATCTACCTGCAGCACAAGATCTCCGAGGCGCTGCGCAAGAAGAAGGGCCTGGATGCCACCGAGGTGCCCGACAAGGGCATGGAGCCCGAGGCCCCAGAGAAAGAGCAAGCATACCTCCGCCATCTGGCCTTGCTGGAGGAGCTGAGGAAGCAACAGGCAGACGACCTGGACTGGTATCACCAGGAGCTGAACCAGCTGAAGAAGCAGTGCAAGGAGGTGCTCTCCAGCGTGGAGAAGGAATGGACAAGCTTCCAGGCGCTCAAGAAGCAGGTGGTGATGCAGGCCATGGGCAGCTGTCAGATGCGCGGCGGTCGCCAGGCTGCACTGCGAGAGGTGGAGCAGATCCAGGCGCTGGAGGACAAGAAGGAGAAGGAGATGAGTGCCGTGAGGCTTGAGAACGTGCAGCTAAAGCAGAGCTTGGTGCATTTTGAAACACGGATGAGGGCCCAGGAGGACCTGACGGAGGGGCTGCTCCTCATCGATTTTGAACAGCTGAAGATTGAGAACCAGACCTTCAATGAGAAAGTGGAGGAGCGAAACGAGGAACTTTTAAAACTGCACAACAAGGTGACCAACAACGTGCAAATAATAACCCACGTGAAAGAGAAGTTACACTTCGTGGACATAGAAAACGTGTGCAAAAAGACACAGCTTTTGGAAATTGAGGCTCAGGTGGCCCTGAGGAGGGACATCCTGACCAGGACGAAGCAGGTCCGGGACAGCCTGCGGGCTGACAACATCAAGCTGAATCAGAAGTGCGGGCTTCTGGGCAAGGAGCTACTCCTTCGGGACATGGAAGAGAAGGTAGACAGGACAGAAGTGCTCAACCAGCGCATAGAGTACCTGAAGCGCCATCATGCTGGGCTTACTATGTCCTGCAGAGGTGTGAAGCAGAAGATCAGGGAGGCCAAAGCCTTCCTCCCACCTTAACACCCACGATAGGAAGAGTCAGCAGAACGTCTTTGATCTCAGCAACTTTTATCCTTCGTTAACTTTTATTCTCCACTTGCGGCCATTCTTTCAAAGTCCTACAGTGTGGGGATGATGCTGTATTTTGTATTGATCCCATCATTTTCAGCTCCTAAATTAGTCCTGAGCAAAATTGGGCTAGCCGTCAGTTTTACACGGGGTGAAGTAAAACAGGCCCAAAGAAACAGCTGTGATGACTTAATGTACCTGACTTCTAGAAGCCTTGGTGTAGCTGAGCAATTCCGTCATTTCAATGATCTGATCCTGAGGAAAACTGTTCCTCGTCCATACATCAGAGGGTTCAACAAACAGGCACGGAACCAAGAAATGTCCTGTGCATTAAGCTAATTATTAAGTCTCCTTTGAATGTATTAAACTGTGTAGTTCTAAGTCACATCCTCAACTCAAAGCTCACTAGTTTCCTTCGATGAATCTAAACTTGTTTTGTTTGTAAGTAGCACTGGCTTCTGGGTAATAAACAAGATGAGGGAAACGAGAGAAATGATAAATAGGAAAAGGAGCTGAGGTTCTTCTGTCCTCTTTCCTTTTTCCACGAGAGGAGGCTCGGTCTGCTTGACCATTAGCGCTTGCTTCTGGCTCAATGACAGTCTGCAATTCTAATGAAACGTTTTCTGGGATCCTCTCAAGAAACGCAATTATCTATACGTAAACATGAAACTTTGTTGTCCGTAAGTCTTTTGTTCTTGGCAAGGTATTTTTGGATCTTGGCAAGAGGACCCTCACTATGCATGTGATTTTACTCTGTATCAAATATTAAAGTGCCTACTACTCCTTGTGTTAATGTGAGAAACACCTGATAGGTCTACCTCTTTCATCCAGAATCAGTGATTCCATTTCCAGTTTTCTTTGGTGCTTTTGGAGCTAGGGGCTTGGCTTTATTTCTTTTTAGCTTTCAGTGGAATTTTGAGTTGGGCAGATTTGGGATTAGAAGTATTCTCCCATCCCTAAGCTTAAGTAGGTCGTAAGGAGGATGAGCTAGTTTTGGGTGCCGAACACCTGTAAAGAAGGATAGAAACCCCTCTCCGGGCCGATGACGCAGTTCGTCGTGAGAAGGTCACGATGACTTTAGCTTTTGGGGGTGCGATTGTTTTCTAAGGTGTGTGCCCTTTGAAGCCAATAAAGGCTGATTAAAATCCCTTTTCTAACTTTTACAGCTTGGACACACTCTTTTATAGGATCATACTTGTCACACCGCACACACGTAACAATGAGGGGAGTTTTTAAAAAGCATTCACTTCCTGCTTCCTCTTCCATCCTCCTCATCCTTTACACTTGTCTTCCCTCTACCCTGTTCATCAAGGCCAAAGCGACGTAGCAAATCACCAGCAAGCAGCCCTTCGTGTTCTTTGTGCCTCCTGCAGGAGCGGCACAGACCCACCGGGGTCTCCGGCGGTTGGGAAGGCTTCGGACTGAACCTGGCGTCGTGCTCGGTGGCTCCCCGCAGCTAGCAGTTTTCATGGCCACAGTGCCTGTCCCTTGGGCTCACTAGCGGGAGAGGAGGTATTTTCAGCGGACTCGGACCCACCGGCAGTTACGCAGGCCTCACCAAGCCCTCCCTCGGCAGCCTGGAGCTGGGCAGACCGGCCTCTCGAGGGCACGAGATACAGAGACTGACGAAGCTGGCATTGCTCTCAGCTGTTAAGTTACCAGTGTTCTCCCAAATTACCTTCTCCCACGCTAGAGATGTTACAGTTCATTAGAAGATAAATAATCTTCTGTTGATGACTTCACAACGAGGTTCCTTCTAATTAAATTACAGGAGAGCTCTTGATCATGAAACAGCAACCCCTTCACGAAGTGCTTCTTCAGCTCGCCTCTGAGGAAGAAGGCCATAGACCCTCCAGTCTTGCTGACGGGCCCCATCGCAGCCTCTGACCCACTGCTCTGTGACTGTGTGCGTAGTCCTCTGGGCCCCGGGGAGACAGAGGTCTGGGAGGCGAGGACAGTCATCCTCCCTCGGAGCCCGCACGATGCCTACCTAGCCCATAATCGATGCTCTGTAATCTGTTGGATTATTAACACATCAACATCATAGCATTCTCATTTTCTGGCAAAAGTGTTGCTCGAATGCCTAGAATAGGCAGACGCTGCTAGTCCTGTATCAGACTCGAGAAATAACCACAGGCAGAAAGAGGTTTCCAGAACTAGAACCGATGAGGAAAATGACGGTCCATTCTAGAGAGACCGCCTCCAGGGAGCCTGCCTGCCTCTAGAAGATAAAGAGGGGCGGCGGCGGCTCGACTCGAGACCTCTGACGTCTCGTCAAAAGAGAGGGCCTGCAGAACGCAGGTACAGTGCAACCTGAGCTGTTACAGGACATGACTTCTTGTGGGTCGGAGTTGGAAGTGTCCCCTTCGTGTCACAGGCGCTTGTGTGGCTGGGAAGCACGGGCAGGAGGGAATCGGGCACCAGCTGCGTGGAGCCCAAGGCATCGAAAAGGGAACACTTTTCATTGGTAGCTGGATGTCATTTCTGGCGGCTTACCGCATTTGAGATTTTTAAATGACGTAAGTGGAGAAACATGCTTTCTTTTTTTGTTAAGTGGGTCTGAAGCCATAATTTAGATGTTTGCCAATCGTCGGGGATGCCTGTCTGATAAAATCATAGCAGAGTTAATGAGCCCCGATCTGCAACTTGGGTTTTAAACTCGAAGACCATCTTCATGTGAGAAGGATGAGTCATGCAAGGGGCATGATCGGGAAGGACTCCGGGGGGCCCTGCGGCTGAGCTGAGCGGCTGGTGGGGGCCGCAGGCTGGGTACCGCTCCTGGTCCACACCTCCTGCTTGCCCACCGTAACCCTGTCTACACAGGCGTGGGTTTGAATGAATACACCTCCACCTGCCCCAGCTTTTTACCTGAGGCAGGCTTCTAATATTTCACCCAAAGGATGCCAAGGTTGAGTACAAAGGTGCACCTAGGAGGAAGACACAGCGTCGCACTTGCAAATAAGGGCTTTGGAATCAGGCTGACCTGGATTCCATATCTCTTCTGTTTGTGACCTGGGCCAACAGTCCACCTCTCTAAACCTCAATGTGCTCCCCCATAAAATGGGGGAAAAATTTATAAAAGTCATTATACGAAAAAAGTATCTCTTCCGTAGGTGGTGAAATTAGGATTTTTATTTTTTGTATTTCCAAATTGTATACAATGAACATGCAATTTTAATAACGGGGGAAATACCGATTTTTAAAATCCCCAAATTCCCCCCAAGAGTTCAGATACTAAAAGTTTACGTGTCAAGAGCATGATTCTATCTCTGCTGATGGGTTTCTTTTAATGACACAATTAATTCAGCAACCTATTTTAATCCTCACAAGCCAGTGGACAGATGCTGGTGCCCTTTTTAAGCTCTGGTTACAGAAAAGAAACATGAGGCTCAGAGCATTTAAAGACTCCTGACCTGACCTCTAACTAAACGACACCTGAAACAGGAGCTGTTTTTGGCTGGAGCAGCTTCTCCCGGGAGCTCGGGAGCGGGGTCGAGAAGCCGCAGGAACGATGTCTAGGCACCGAGAGACGGGGCGGGGGGCGCGGGCAGGGGTGCCGGTAACTCGTGCTGTCCGGGGGTCAAGACTACTGCCCCTCCCTCCACAGGCTCAGGCATTCTGGGAGAAGGGGCCTTGGTGCGGCCGGGCCCCGCGGAGCAGCAACCTTCTAGAGCCGGCTGGCTGCAGGCGGTGCTCATGGAGGAGCCCGGGCTCCTGAGCCAGCCCCGCGCTCCCGGCCTCTCGGGAGGACCCGGGCACGGCGAGCTCCTGCGTGGGCCCCGACTGAGGACTTGCCGCGGCTCTGCTGGCCACGCACGCCCTTCCTCTGATGACCAGGGGCTCCTCTCAGGTCCCACGCAGTCCCTGCCCTGTACGGGGGCAGAATCTCGTTCCGTCTCTGGGCCTTGGTGGCAGGCTCCACATGCCGGGTGGTGGTTTTTGAACCGTCAGCCCCCTGGCTTCTCTTGGGAAAACGGTCCACAGCTTCCACCGCAAGCCTGGTGCAACCCAAGGCCGTGCCCGAGCCGGCCGTCGGGCGTGGGCCGGTGCCTCGCACACAGGCCCTCGGGTGAGTGAATCCAGGCCTCGCCCCAAACCCTGCACTGGGGAGTTGAGGTCAGAGCGAGAGGAGCAAGGCTTCCAAAGGCCGCAGAGCAAATCTGTTCCCTGGGGAGACGGGCAGCAAGGGCTCAGGGGCCCCAGGGAAAGGGTGTGAACCCCAGCCCCGCTGCTAACTGGCCGCAGGAGCCCAAGCAGATCGGCTTTCTGCGTCACACCTTTGGAATGGGGACAGTGACAGAGCTGCTGCGGAGAGAAATGAGGCCATTCACAGAACGCGGCCTGGGGCCGGGCGTGGGTGCGGCGGGCAGCAAGCCCCGGGACACGACGGCCGTCCAGCACGGCCACCCTCGTCGGCCACAGCACCCCCCGGCCTGGGCCAGGTGGAGAAAAGGTAACAGTGGAGCGGAGCAGCCATGGGATCCCCTGGTGAGAAGATGGGAGCCTGGTGCTGGGGGCCGAAGACACGGGAGCGAACACCCTGACCAGAGCCGCGCCGTCTCTGGGGGAGAGAAGCGGGGGGAGCAGTCACAGGGCGGAGGGTGGTGGCCCAGCGCAGGCCGTCAGCCTCGCTGCCACGGGAGGGCCAGCACCGTCTTGTTCCTGCAGGTCAAGAAGGGATTCTCCTGGGGGACCAGGGACAAGAGAGGTGGCAGCCCTGACAGCCCCCCACCTTCTGGCTGGGCCGCCTGCCCTCGGCCGAACGGCTGGCGTCACACGTGAGCACCCGCTCTGACCGGCGCCAAGTGACCTCTCGGGCTGCGTCCTGCTCACCGTCACCGTGGCGGGGTGGCTGGACTGACCTCCACCCCGGAGCCGGCAACGGAGGTGCCCATGGTCCCCCGCAGGCTGGTGGGGGGCCTACAGGGCAGCACCTGGCCGACCAGGCCCTGAGCAAGTGCCCGGGTGAGTGTGCAGCCCAGCAGCTGGCTCAGGGTGAGCGCGGGCTCACTGCTGCGATCGGGGACAGGAATGGGGTCAGCGAGTCTGAGGTTCCCCTTGGGCGTGCAAGGGCCACGCTGAACTCCCAAATCCCGGTACCAAATTAACATAACCACACCTTTTTTATTTAACGAGCAGAACAAGTGGGTTTCAAAATGTGATGCTCGGGGCGCCTGGGGGCTCAGTCGGTGAAGCGTCTGCCTTCAGCTCAGGTCATGATCCCAGGGTCCTGGGATCGAGCCCCGCGTCGGGCTCCCTGCTCGGTGGGGAGCCTGCTTCTCCCTCTCCCTCTCGCTTTGGGCTCTCTCGCACACGCACTCTCTCAAATAAATCTTTAAAAAAAAATAATGCGATGCTCTAAGTCAAATTTTGCCATACTTGAAGGTGAGAACTTCAATTTTAAACCAAACCACAGTGAACGTTAAGTAACAATTTTACATGACTTTTATTTAATAAAACCACATATTTACAATTCAAAAAGTCCTAATTTGATAGACTTTACTAAATAAAATTAAAGGTTAACTGTACAAGCAATTAAAACATGGTATGTAGCAAGTATCATCAGGAAGTTTCTATCAGCAAACTATTCAAAATAGTCAAAAACTGAGCGGTTAAAAAGTACCTTTTAAAGTGAACATTGTTTCTAGATGGGCTTGCGGGGACTGGTGGGGACTCAGCTTTCGACTCTAAAGTGCCAGTTGCACAAGGTCCCAAATCCCAAGTCTTAGATCCAGACAGCCAGCGGCCCAGGCCGGCAAAGTGCAGACTTGCAGGGGGCGCGGCCTTTCGGTCGGGCTCCCCCGTTTTCCTAAGCGATGGCATCCGACAGAGCAGCCCGACCCCGCGGAAAGGGGCCACATGCGTCATGCGGCCCGAGCTCCCGGCGTCAGGTGGACATGGCCAACCGGGAAGACCCCGGGCGGTCCCCAAATAGGCCACGGAAACCTCTTGTGAGCTAGAGATTTGGTGCGTGTTCCGGATCGGCACGGAATCCCGTCTAAAAAGGTAATGCATACGCGGTGACCCAAGTCCCAAGAGACGGATGTCAGGCTGTCCGACGGAAGTGTTAAGGGCTGGGTTTGGACGCGCAGACGAGCCGCGAACGCATCCTGCAGCAGCGGCGCTTCCTGTCCCGACCGAGGAACATCCGTATGTACAGTAAGAAAATATATACACCTTTCAGAACAGAAAGCCCACGTCCGGGAACGACACTCAGCCCGTGTGGGCGAAGGGCTGGGGCCGGCGGGGTGACATTCGGCAGCACAGTGGCGGGCGGGCGGACGCCTCCTCCGAGAGGGCAGCCGGGTCAGCACTTCCAGGCTGAGGCAGAGAGTGGGTCCGAGATGCCCTGCAACCTTCCAGGGGAATTCAGTTAAGAAGACCGGGGGACAAAGGCAACTCCAGGAAACGGGACCCACGGCCACGGCGCGGCCCCCGCCCGTGCCAGCCGTGAACGTGGCAGACAGAAGGCCCCGGAGAGCCAGGCCGCAGGGAGGCCCCCATCCCGTGCCGCCTGTGGCCAGCCCGCTCTCGGAGCCGGGGCGCTCCCCATATCAGCACCGAGAGCAGCCGGGGGGCACCGCCCGCCCGGGGCAGGGAGAGAGTGTGGCTGAGGGGACCCGGTCTCCCGAGCACTCGCAGACCCCAGCACGCGCCGAATCAGCGCGTGGGGACCGGTCTCCACACATCTGCCTGTCCTCTGGGCTCCTCGGTGTGAAAACCGTTCCCGTCTTTGAATGTGCATGACCAAAAGCGCTTTTAACAAAATTCTTAAAGTTAGTCAGGAAGAAGCTCGAACAAGAAAGTTGCAAATGAACTTGGGGGAAAGCCAGCTAAAACGGGGAGAGGCCGACGGGACTGCGTGCATGCGGCCCACTCCTCGGCCCGCACAACGGTCTATCTTTTAAACCAAAGGCGGGGAGGGAACCGCTGGTCCTCAGGGCTGATCCTGCTGTTCGGGTGACAGAGGGAAGAGCGGCATTCTGGAAGAGAAAGGGCGCAGGCTTGCCCCGCCACCCCGGCCTCCGCACACAGGAGGCGTGGGGGCTGGAGCCTGTCTCCCATCTCCGGCCTCCTGGGTGAGCAGCAATTCCTGCTCAGGAGACGGAGGGAACAATCTCAGGGGAGAGCAGGGGTCCCCCGGAACCCAAGTGGCCACTTTCAGCCCTCACGCTGGGATTCTGTCAAGGTGACAATGGAGAAAGGCCAACCTGAAGGTCAGGTCGGATCCCAGGGAGCCCACGGGCATGCTGGGTGACCACCCTGTGAGAGCCTGTTTTCCTTTCGTGCTATCTTTGGTAGGTGGGCTTTAAACAAGACCTCCAGCCCCGGAACGGTTCTCCCGGTCAACTAAACCAACAACTCCTTCCTCGCTCAAGTAGGTCAACAAGCCAGTGACACCTCCAAGACCTCCTAAGTAGCATTTCTCACGCACCTTGGCTACGGAAGACTGTAATGTACCTTTCATCAGGTGACATAAAAGCAGGACAATTTAATTAACTTCTGTGAAATAAGGTGGGGGGGGGTAGCCGCTGCCTTATTTTTACACCATGCAGAATACACAGCGTTGGCCGTGGTCACACCAGCTCATCGTCCCACCGAGCTTCTTAAGGCTAAGCCTTGGTGAGTCAACTTTAAAAGTTGTTTTAAGGCCAATTCCAGCATTAGGCTCAAACATGGAAAGAGCCCGTTCTCAGCTGTCCGTGTGTCCGTCTGGAACAACGCCGGTGCCCCCCGGAGATCCGCTCTGGTGCCGAGTGCGAGTCCGCCGGCTGCTCAGTGTCTGAGAGACGGGCTTCCTTTCTCCGTGTCCCGGCTGTCCTTCTGCAAGGCCGTCAGCACCTGGGAATCACAGGGGAGACGTCCGTGGGTGATCTGCAAACACACTGGACACAGGTCCTGCAGGTGCGGCGGCAGGCCATGCAGCCTCCCGGCTCGTGTCTCTGGCCCCCCCACTTCCGCTGCTCCCGTTCCTCCCGCCACACCGGCGGCCACAGCCCTCCTCCTACCGTGGAACCCAACCGCGCCATCTCTGGGCTAACGTCCTACAGCCCCGTCCTACCGGCCACAGGACCACCGTCAGGACCCGGCTATGGGGCTCTCCTTCCAGTCTGGCTCCAGCCCCGGCGCTCGCCACCCCCCAAGCCAGGCTCTCGGCTCCCCGGACGCTAACAAGCGCCCCTGGGCCTTTCCGCGCAGCCCCTCCGTCCGCGGCACCAGCAAACCAGGTGTCCCCCGAAGGCCAAAGCCGTGGGCTCTCACGCCCGCCCGGGCTTTCCCAAAGGGACCGAGCCCCCAACTCTGTGCTCGCCCAGCTCCTGGTTCACACCTTCATTTTTAAAGACACTCTGCCTGCTTAGGAACAGTGGTGCGCTCTGACCGGCTGCCCAAGTGCGGCGCCTCCCGCACGCGGGCTGCAAGTGCAAACAGGCTCCGGGAGGCTAACCCCCGCGGCGAGGCCCCCGAGCAACCGGCACTCAGCCGAGCTCGTGTTCCGACCTAGACTGGTGGGACTTCAAAACCGGGGGCTCGCCGACTGCGGTCAGGTAGTACGTCCCTGTAACTGAATTACAGATCACGGGGGGCGAAGCAGAAACACCTCAGGTAGGTTTCGAACAAACTGCACAGAAGGAAGTCCCCCTCTCTACCTCTAAGTCGATGGGACTGCCGAGCAAACATATTCATTTACTCGTCTGTAAAGCTCTCCGGGGTCCCGACCTGAAGAGCTTGTAAGAGGAACGTGTACAGACCACAGTTCCCATGGAGCCTAGCACCGTATAAATTCGATGACGCCCCCCGGCCCCACCGTCAGGCTGATTCCCATTGTGATCCCGTGATTAGAAATGCCCCACTATCCAACAACCGCTGACCTAGTTTGAAGTGAACATTTTTACCTTGTCCCCAAAACACGAGAAGGGCAACAACAGACCTGGGTTTAGTCCTGCCCTGTGTGTGCCCGCGTGGGGGACACTCAGGGCGGGTGGGGCGCAAAGACCAGCGGCGAGGAGGGCAGACCGGCGGACCCTCGACGGCAAGCGTGAAGTCAGGTGGTGACCGAGCTACGTGTGGGACAAAGGCCTTGGCTTTCTGCAGCGACTCCAGAAACCCCTCAAGCCAGCGAGCCACGGAGACCTCACCGTGCCCTCCCACACGGGCCAGCTTCACAGGCATGCCACGCAGGCCGTCACATGGGGTCCCCACCCAGAGGGGCCCACTGAGCTGAATGCTGTGCAGTCACCTTCTTGAAACTCTTAGTGATTCTGAACAGGGATCCCAGATCTCCATTTTGCACCGTCCACGGACTTGTAACCAGAGAAAGGCTCTTTCTCCCTCTCGCCAGATCCCTGATAATCCTACAGCCAGTCCTGCTCACACACTATGAGATATAATTCCTTACCCTGTAATTGGTCCATTTAGAGTGTACAGCTCAAGGGCTTTCAGTGCATCCGTGGATGTGTGCGACGCTGCCCCGGTCCGTTCCGGAGAACCCCGAATGCTCCCGCTTCCCCCCACCCCCGCCTGACCCCGCCCACTGCCAGGGCGACCACTCGCTGACTTCCTGTCTCCACAGGGAACCCTGTTCTGGACTCGCCTACAAATGGAATCACAGAGAGTGTGGTCTTTAGAGTCTGGCTTTGTCCCTTCAAATGATGTTTTCAAGGGTCATGCATGTTGTAGCATGTCAGGACGTCCTTCCTTTCATCAACAGATTGTATTTAATTTTTCAAAAATGCAAATCCTATCACCCAAGCACAAAACAGTGCCCCTCCCCACGGACCCCCTCCTAGTATTATGCAAGCTCCCATACAGCAGCCGTGCTTCTTCCCCAAAGACCTACACAGGGAGGGAGTCTGGCAGCCAAAGAGAGCATCATGTAACAGGACAGGAAGGACAGGAAGGGCGAGCTCAAGGGCCAGGATGAAGGACCCAGGTAACAGGGGAACTTTCCTCTGTTAATAAATGCACTGAATGGTACACTTTCAAAAGGGTGAATTTTATGGTATGTGAATCACATCTCAACAGAGCTGTCTGTGTTATAAAAACAAACAGGCGGGGCGCCTGGGTGGCTCAGTCATTAAGCGTCTGCCTTCGGCTCAGGTCATGATCCCAGGGTCCTGGGATCGGGCCCCGCATCGGGCTCTCTGCCTGGCGGGAAGCCTGCTTCTCCCTCTCCCACTCTCCCTGCTTGTGTTCCCTCTCTCGCTGTGTCTCTCTGTGTCAAATAAATAAAAATCTTAAAAAAATAAAAATAAAAATAAAAATAAAAAATAAAAACAAACAGGCTGCTAGAGAGAGAGAGCCTGATCGCCCATGAAGT